ACTAACACTACTAATACGACGACTACGACTACTAATAGTACTACTACTACTACTACTAATACTCCTACTACTATACTACTTCTACTACTACTAACACTAATACTAACTACTAGCTATAACTAATACTACTACTACTAACTACTAATAACTACTACTACTACTACTACTACGCCTATACTACTACTACTATACTACTACAATAATACCGATTTCCTCTACTATCCTACCCTATATGCTAATACTACTACTACTACTACTACTACTACTACTACTACGGCTACTGCTACCACTACTGTTATTACTAAGGACGACTACCTACGTCTACTACTACGACTACTACGACTACTACTACTACTACTACTACTACTACTACGACTACTGCTACTACTACTACTACTACTACTACTACTACTACTACTACTACTACTGTCACTGCTACTACTGGTACTACTACCTACTACTACTACTACTACTACTACTACTACTACTACTACTACTACTACTACTACTACTACTAGTACTACTAGTAGTACTACTAGTACTAGTACTACTACTACTACTACTACTACTACTACTACTACTACTACTACTACTACGATCTGAATATCTATAGATATATATGTATATATATATCGATGTAGTGCAAACTATGTGATGCGCGGCGGCGACGGCGGCGACGGCGGCGGCGACGGCGGCGGCGACGGTGCGGCCACGGCGGCGGTGACGGCGGCGACGGACAGCACGGACGGCGACGGCCGCCCCTGGTCCCGAGACGATCGGCGGCGACGGGCAGCAACGGGCGGCACCGCCCTGAAAGGCCGCCCCTTGTCGCGAGATGGTTAAGAACCCCTAGATGCAAGAACTGCTTGAGGAGTAGAAAGTGTAGAAAGAGAGAGAGAGGGAGAGAGGAAAAGAAACAAACTTGGCGATGGATCCAACCACATGCAGTTGCGAGTACCGCCGTTGTGAGAACCGTCGTCGATGGAGCTCCGCATGGGGCCACGAAGCGCGCGAAGGGTGCCCCGAAATGTGGCGGTGCCGACATGCGGGCGCTGCCACTGGCTGGTGCCTTATGTAAAGCTCGCGATGGGGCCGCGAACTGTGGAGGGGCGCGCCGAAACGCGCGAGTCACGAAGAGTGTGAGAAGGGCGCCGACATTGACGCCGTCACGCACCACGCGATTCCTACCGCTGTGGCCTTGCGCGGAGCTCCACATGGGGCCAGGAAACGTGCGAGAGGTGTGCCGAGCTGGGCGCGGTCACGTATGCGAGTCCTGCAGCTGGTGCCTCAAATGGAACTCCTCATGGGGCCACGGAACGTGTGAGGGGCGTGCCAAAATAGGCACCATCACGCATGCGATACCTGCCACTGGGGCCTTCGGTGGAGCTCCCTACGGAGCCACGAAACGTGTGAGGGGCCGAAGTGGGCGCCGTCACGCATGCGACTCCTGTCACTGGGGCCGTACAAGTGGAGCTCCCTGTGGGGCAACGAAGCGTGTGAAGGGTGTGCCGGAATTGGCGGCGGTGCGATTCCTGCCGCTGAGGCATTCGGTAGGACGCCATATGGGGCCACGCGACGTGTGAGTGGCGTGCCGAAATATGCTCAGTCACGCATACAATTCCTGCCATTGGGGCCTTAGGTGGAGCTCCCCATGGAGCCTGAAACGCGTGAGTCGTGTGCCGAACTGGGCGCGGTCACGCATGCGAGTCCTGCTATTGGGGCCTTCAGTGGAGCTCCCTATGGGGCCACGCGACGCGTGAGCGGCGTGCCGAATTGGGCACGGTCACGCATGAAAGTCCTGCCATTGGACCCTCAGGTGGAGCTCCATATGGGGCCAAGGAACGTGTGGGGGGTATTCCGAAATAGGCGCCGTCACGCATGCACTTCCTGCCTCTGGGGCCTCAGATGAAGCGCCCTATGGGGTCACGGTTCGTGTGATGGGCGTGCCGAAATGGGTGTCGTCACGCAAGCGATTCCTGTCACTGTGGCCTCAGGTGGAGCTCCCTATACGGACACGAAGCGTGGGAGGTGTGCCACAGTGAGGATGACGGTAACAACGATGCTGATCATGATGAGGATGATGGTGACGACGATGATGATAGCAATGATGATGACGCTGATGCTGATGCTGATGCTGATGCTGATGATGGTGATGATGATCATCATCATCATCATCATCATCATCATCATCATCATCATCATCATCATCATCATCAGCATCAGCATCATCATCATCATCAGCATCATCATCATCATAAGGAGGATGAAGAGGATGGTGATTACGATGATGATGACGATGACGATGACGATGATGACGCAGCTGATGATGAGGATGATGGGGATGATGAAGATGATGAGGTTGATGATGACGATGATGATGGTGGTGATGGTGACAATGATGCAGACGCCGGCGGAAAGCAGGAGGATTTGGGGAGAAGTAGAGGAGGAGGAGGAGGAAGGAGGAGGAGGAGGAGGAGGGAGAGGAGGAGAAGGAGCAGCAGGAGGAGGAGGAGGAGAGGAGGACGCAGGTCGCTGCTGATTCAAGACGAGGACCCAACACCACAGGACGTTTGGGATAGCAGATGGAGAACAGAGAGCAGGGAAAAAGAGAGGGGTGACGAGAGATGAGGGGGAGATCCGAACTGCCAACAGCACCCCTTGTCTTCCTTTTCGCTGACTTCAGGACCCACATCCCTCCTGCTCTGACCTGATCGACTCATGTGATGATCCCTTTGAGGGGGTCAGCTCTCGAGGCAAATCCGCGACCCCTGTGGCATGTGTCAGATTCCTTCCGTGCCCAAAAACATTCCCCCTCGCATCCATAACCTCGGATTTGGGTCGGGGGGGGCTCGCCCACCCCATGCCAGGCGGTCCAAGAGGGCGCCAGAATGGCACTAAAACTGTCCAGGAGAGACCGAGGGGCATGTCAAGACTTCCAGAGATGCCTCCAAGACAAGGCAAGATGCCGTCTCTTAAACCAGAGGCACGACAAAAAGGCCCCAGGAGACTCACCAAGAGGATTCAGAGAAGACCCTCGATTCTCAGTCATTGTACATTCTGAAGTGCACCCATGTGTTTGCTATCCATGCTTTTGACCCTAAGGTGGCTTCCGAAGGGCTTCGGAGGGTCCAGAGACAGCCCGAGAGAGCCAAAAAAAGCTCCCAAAACTGAACTGTCGGCTTAGCCATCGCCCGCCAGGCACGGGTCCACCAGGACAGCAGTGTTCGCGCACTGCCATTGGGATGACCGCCTTTCACCCTCCTCGCAAAATGAGGTCGAGTTCAATTTAGTATCGAATGCTTCGCCCTCAAAGACGAACTCTCCAAGCTCCCCTTCTCTGGGCAGCAGCAGACTGTGACCAGTTCAAGATGCCTAATGCATCGGGGCGCCGAGGGCGCTCAGGGCGGGAAAGGCTGAAACTGGTTTCGCAGGCGCTGGTTTCGCCAGCGCTGGTTTCGCCACGCTGGTTTCGCGGGCGGCTGGTTTCGCTGGCGCTGGTTTCGGCGGCGCTGGCTTCGCCGACGCGAGCCCTAACGGGCGGATCGGGTCGGGCGGACGGACCCTAGCGGGCGGGTCGGGTCGGGTCGGGCGGGCGGACTCTGACGGGCGGGTCGGGTCGGACGGGCGGGACTAAAGTGCTAGCGCGCTCGACCGAGCACGCGCGGTATGCAACGTGCGGTCGGTCGGGCGGACCCCAACGGCGGGACGAGGTCGGGTCGGCGCGGACCTTAACGGGCGGGTCGGGTCGGGCAAGCGGGACATTAAAGTGCGAGGCGCGCTCGACCGAGCACGCGCGAGCCCTAACGGGCGGGTCGGATCGGGCGGGCGGACCCTAACGGGCGGGTAGGGTCACATTAAAGTGTGGGGCGCGCTCGACCGAGCACGCGCGAGCCCTAACGGGCGGGTCGGGTCGGGCGGGCGGACCCTAGTGGACGGGTCGGGTCGGGTCGGGCGGGCGGGCGGGACCTTAAAGGTGAGCATTCTCGACAGAGCACGGCGCGAACCCTGACGGGGGTCAGGTCGGGCGGGCGGATCCTAGAAGCGGGGCGGGTCGTGTCGGGAGGGCGGACGCCTGACGGGCGGTCGGGTCATTAACGTGTGGGGGCGCGCTTCGACCGAGCGCGCGCGAGCCCTAACGGGCGGGTCGGGTCGGGCGGGCGGATCCTAGTGGGCGGGTCGGGTCGGGTCGTGCGGGCGGACCCTAACGGGCGGGTCGGGTCAGGCGGGCGGGACATTAAAGCGTGGGGCACGCTCGACCGAGCACGCGCGAACCCTAACGTGCGGGTCGGGTCGGGCGGGCGGATCCTAGCGGGCGGGTCGGGTCGAGCAGTTTCGACGACGGCAGCTGGTTTCGCCGACGGCAGCTGGTTTCGCTGACGGAGCTGGTTTCGCCGACGGAGCTGGTTTCGCCGGACGGCGAAACCAGCCGGGTGAAACCAGCCGGGCGAAACCAGCCATCGGCGAAACCAACGGTCGCCGCGATCCCACACGCTCCTGAGCAGAGTGAGCCATCAGGCCCCCATCCCCCCTAAGCCTATCCCACCCCCACTACTGATCCTCGTCGTCTGGCTTTCGGGTCCCAACTCGGCTCTCTGGCGGCCGTTCGTAAAGATCTGGGCACCCCCAGAACGCCCTCCGCGAGGCTCAGCTGCTGGAACGCATCCCGAAGATGAAAAAAACGCCAATCCCGAAGATGAAAAAACTACCAAGAACCGCGAACCTCGATTCCGAGAAAGCCGCCCCCCCTGATGAAGAGCGCCCAACAGGAAGGGGCCTCCTGGCCCCAGGCATGTGCGCGGACACGGGGGGGGCCAGGGAACGCATTGAAAAGCATGGCCCTGGCGTCCTGGCCATGACATCAAGCCCCCCCTGGCCATCGCCCCCCTCGTGGGCGCACCCGACCTGAGCCGAGCCCCCCTTGTCGCATTGTCCCCGAGCGCTCCTGCACGCCAGACGCCCGAACGGCGAGGCCCGGCCGGCGGGGCACGAGCGCGTCCGGC